TTATTGATATAAATATTTTATTATACTATCCCTACTAATTAATGTTTAGTATTGAATATTAAAAAATGATATAGAAAATATAATTTAATATTAAAAATAAAATATATAAAAAATAATTATTTTTCTTAATATATAAAAAATGACAAGTAAAATAAAAATTTCTTTTAACATTAAGTGAAAAGTAAACAGTGAACGGAGTAAGCATTTTAAAGTTATTTGTCCAATCGGACGACGTAACAAGTGGTAAACGCTACACACAAAATCTCTAACTCAGCAAAAGCGGCAGAGACGAAACAAGCGGAGAAACATTCATCGCCGCTGTCGCACGTATCCCACAGACTTCGAATCTGGTTATTTAATGCAGCTAATTATGAGTTTCTGATTTCCTCTCCACGCTCTTCTATTACGTGTCCACGCGCACCTCCTACGGCCTTTTTTTCCCTCTTATTTCAAGATGATGTGAAATGAACTTTCTGATCATTTAATTTACCGTAGCTGTATATTTATAACTAGTTTTTCGATAAGTGTGCTGCACGTGATTATCAATTCAGAAAATATATGTTATACGGAGTAGTAAATAGTGCTTATTTAAGTGAAGGTTTGAATAATAAGTTTTGCACAAAATAATATTATTGATTTTTTTGTGAATGTTCAATGTGAATCATCATATATATCTTTTATTCACGCGAATTATGAAGATGGTCAGTGAAATTTTTTATTAGTTAAATGCAATAATACATAAAGTTATTTCAATTTGCTGAATTCAATCATATAATTGGTCGTATCTCAATAATATTACCTTATAGACGATATTTGTTGTATATTTTCTTGTCATCTAACCAGATGTGTTTGCACGTGTATTTCACGTTAAACTGTTCAAATGTCATATGAACATGTGAAAAAAATAACTACATTTTATTTTTTTAGAACTAATTTTTATTTTAAAAGTTATAACATAATAAATGACGCTCTTGTTGTTGGCTCTTATATTTGACTTCTCGATTGACTGTGTAAATAAATCAAAGTTGGTTATCTGACTGTCCATTGTTAACTGAGAAAGGTTCCTTTTTTTTTTTTTACCGAAAAAACATATGATATCATATATATAATCACATGTTTATCTTACACCCAACAAAGATGTAGTTCATATACTTGTAAATAATTTTTAATTTATTCAATCAAGCATGATTCATCCAAGGAAAAATAACAATATCATGTTATCACATATATATGAACGGTATAATAATATGAGAAATTATTAGATAAAAGTTAAGATAAGAAAAGATGAAAGATAGAATTAATTAATGTAATAACTATGAGAATTCATAATCTTATAACTAAAGAATGTGAAAGAGTCTGAATAACATTGGCAATAATTAGTAATAACTAAGAAAATTTATAATATTATAACTAAAGAATTAATGTGCAATGATTCATATATGTTCACATATTTTCACATTTGTCGTGAGTTTTTTTTTTTAATTTAATAATATATTTGAAATTAAAAGATCTTGTTAACTTGATAATATATTTGTGACATATATAATTCTTTAATCTAAATACAAATACCTACCATATATATATATATATATATATATATATGAGTAATATGAACTTTTCTTTGTCTAAAATACTGTAATATTAAGAAATAGTAAATAAGTAAAACAAAAGGTCTCATGTTTATATATTAATAACTATTTTGAAGCAAACTTCCTAACATTCTAAATCACATGAGTAGCATTGTTAAATAAAGTCTTTTTTTTTGTCTTGAGCATCAAAAAAACAAATCGTGACATTTCTCTAACTTTTGAAAAGTAATCATTTTAGAAAAAGTTGTTGAGAAGCATATATTTACATCACAAGAGAAATTGTTAAAAAAAACAAATAAATTTAGACTACATCATGTTAACATCATCATATATTGAAACATTACATACTAATGTATATATTAGGCAAATTGATGACCTTTCGGTAGTGCCAATCGAGAAGTTCATCAGTCAACAACTCTGAGGAAAAAAAACAAGGCATGTCACTCAAACATTAAAGATCACTATTAAAAGGTGAGGTAAAGACAACCGCATTTTGACAATAATAATGATGGTGTGTTCCTTCACAAACTGTTAAAAAATAAGAGAAAAAGGTGAAGGTACAAAATGCAACATAGAGACACCAGAGAAATATTGAGTGAAAGGAAAGGACATATATGTTTCATGTAATCCTCAAGATAAAATTTCTCCTCTTTTTGCTTAATTCTTCTATTGTTGGTAGAACATTGAAACATATCATCAAAGGAGAGTTAACACCACAACCATGCACTTAGCAAGTTACAAATGGACCACTATTAGCAACTGATTTAATTTTGATATGATAAAATTATTGCAGAAAAGGCAGCATCGGGCTGTCATACAACTAATGGCACAAGTAATACATTGACAAAAATGTACATTATCTGTTTTCACAAAAAAAAATATATTTATTTCCACTCACAACTAGACAGTAATCAGCATATACTGAGAGCAAAGGCATCACTTACAACCTTATTTGAACTCACTCAACAACAATAAATCATACGAAAATTTTAAAAATGCAAGAAGAAGAAGAGTAGAAGATTAAAAAAAATTGTGGTTGGAAAAAATGAGAGGAAACTCCTCTATTTATAGTCAACAAAGGGTGGTATGAATAAATTTTTTTTTGTGTCTTATCTGAAAAGTCAGGATCTTTTGAGAAGTCACAACACTTTGGAAAAATCACAACTTATTGAAAAAGTCACAACTCTTTGAAAAAGTCACAACTCATCGAAAAATGTCACAACTTATCAGAAAAGTCACAATTTATCGAAAAAATCACAAGCTAAGTTAGGAATATTATAATAATTTAACATTCAAGTTAAGAATTCATGTTTTTAAGGTAATATAGATATTACTAAAAATAATAAGTCCCTTTGCTTAAAAAATAATTGAATTCTTGAGGTAATTTACATTATTAAAAGGAAAAAAGATTAGGTCAAAAATTGAACAGTACTTTTCACGTTTTTTCTTTTAGTTATTTTCAAACTATTTTTAAAAATAAAATCATTAATATGAAAAATTAACTCTCTTGAAATTATCACCTAAAAAATATAAATAAGGACAACATTAGAACAAATTTTCAACAAGTCTCTTTAATTGAACAATTCATTTATTTTAAAATATATGAAAAAATATCCAATAATAATAATTCACTTATTTTGAAACGATGGAAATAATATTCTATATTTAAAAAAAAAAATATGGTTTGGCGGCAGAGGTAGGAGAAATGACAGAAAAGATTATGGAGAACCAAACTTTCAACAGCAACACATAAAAAATCAGGTAACTAACAACTTATCTATTAAGATGTTTAATAATTACTACTCTATAAGATCTTCAAAGAAATGAAATTTTTGTAAATTTTTTGCAAGGATTTCTTCATAACAAAATGTTAACTAAATAAATGAATTTAGAAATGTGAAATTTAATTTTATTTATTTTTTTGCTAATAATTCAAATATTTATGTTAAATCTTAAGAGCACGTGAAAGAGTTATTATAAACAGGGACAATTTTTAATGGAATTGTGAAAGTTTCGGAATAGATAGTTCTTGCTAAAAAAATAGATTGTAAGATACTGTTGCGGATGGCATAGGTGCCGAGTGTCGACCAATAGGAACCACACTACTTGTTTCAGAATGCCTAAATATTCCATAATATGAAGAACCTATAAATTATCCTTTATTGAATTTTTAAAAAATAGTAAAAGTTTGATTACACTCCAATGATAAATGGACTTGAATTTATTATATACTATTCAATATTAATATCATACCGTAGTATTTTTCTCAACATCGCCAATCAGTAGAATGAATGAGGTGCATGTCATGCTTAGCAAGACAATCAACTATATTATATTTGTTTCACGATATATACAGTGAAATTGTACGGTGCCTAAATCTATCATCAAAGATCTATAATGAGAAATAATACATATTGAAGATTAGTTTAACTTTGTACATTACATAAGAATCAACCTCTATTTGTTATCCAGAAAGATTTGATTTTTTTTATTGCTATTTGTAAATCGATAACTAGAAGAATAGCTAGAGTTTATATTCATTCAACGGGAAAAAACAAATGAGATGATTTGTTAAACTCCTAATTCAATGATTATGATACTCACAAAACACATCAAAGACACCATTAATATTTAGCTTGATACTTATTATATTTAAATATATCATACTAATATAATTTATGAGCTCGTAAATCACCTAAATGTACAGTTAGCTCAAAATATTTTCTCAAAAATTACTTTCTTTGAAAGATTGTAATTTTTTTTATTTAAGTCAACGTCTAAATTTAAGAAATAAGTGCATATTTTTCCCTTTGTTTTGGTCTGATATTTAACAGAAGAAAATACTTTTCTATCAAAAATAAATCTTTTCATTCTTTGTAATCCGACTTAAAAATGGATATCGAAGTCTGTCCATCTCATTCTATTCTCTCCCTTCAAAATGAATTTAATATTACCCCACTGTATAGTTTTTTGATGATTTACTTGCGATAATTATATAGTACTAACTTTTTAAAATAAACTTATGGAAACTGAAAAGTGAAATATACCACTTACTGGTATAATTGAAGGAAATTAAATTCTTCAATAATATTTTTTGTTTTTTTTACACTATACTATAAAGATGAGACATAGTTTGTGCTCTTTTCTATCACAACATCCTACTTTTTTCTCTCTAGAAAAACAAATTTGGTTGGGTGCTGCTATAAAAAGGCTTTTTTGCTGCATACAGAGATGCAGAGAGTGCAGTAAACCAACTGTTTCCTTCTTTCATCTTCCTTCACTATCACTGTCTATGACATAATTCTTCTGTTCAAATCTCCTTTTCTCTCTCTTTTCTTTTGCCATATAAAACAAACAACCAAACATATATTTTTGTTTCAAATTCACTTCAACTTTATCAATTGTACCTCCATGGCTGCTGTTCTTAGGAGTTTGTTGAACCCGAATGCACCCGAATATATCCCTATTTCCACTCCGCTACCGCCTGTGCTGCTTCCACCGCTTCCTCCTCCTCATCGTACCGTCGGTTCACTGCCGCGGGAGAGTGTCCGACCACCATCGGTGATACGCCTTGGTCCGAATATTCCTCCTAGGTTGAGAAATGATTATATCGCTAGACGCGGAGGAGGAGGAGGGCGAGGTTTTTCTCGATCGAGTAACGGAAACAGAGGTGTGTTTGGAAGAGGAAATTGTTCAAATACTGAGGGACGTTTTGTTTGGCGGAGAAAAGTGGGAAATCATGACCAGAGACGAAGTGTTTGTTATAATGAGATGAAGAAACACGATGTGATACCTATAAGTTGGACACATAAGAACAATACTACTATCATGATCAAGAATATTCCATATCACTACAAGTAATTTTTAATTCTTTGTTTATCCAATTTTTGCCTCTTTTACTTTTACTTATTTGGAAGTTTATTTAAACAAAATTTAATGGTCCGACTCTCTAGTTCCATATCATTCAATAGCACTGTCGTTTAGTTATTTGCTAGCACTTTGGAATCTGATGGCTAATTAATTTAACTTTTCCTTTACAGCCGTGAAATGTTGATGCAATTTCTGGACGAGCACTGCTACCTGGAGAATCAAAAGACTGGAGATTCAAATGGAGGAAATATTCATGTCTTCGCTTATGATTTCTTGTATTTGCCCATGGATTTCAAGTAAATAATTATTTTTCTTGTGTTCATATCATTTGCAGTCAAAATAGCAACTTCAGTACTATTAGCTTCTCTTTTGTTTTTAAATTTGCAGAAAGAAGAGGAGCAAAGGCTATGCATTCGTGAATTTCACCGATCAGAGAACTGTGTGGAATTTTTTTTATGTTTTCAATGACAAACTAAACGTGTTTCCGGGATCTACAAGGAGTGTTAAGATCGTCACTGCAAAGATCCAGGTGAATGAATGTTCAAAAATAAATAAAAATTGTTATGAAGTTTATGATTTTTGATGTGAAATTTTGACCAATTACAGGGAAAAGAAGATTTAGTGAACCGATTCAAGCAAACAAGATTTGAGTGTGAATCAGAAGGATTTCTGCCAGTTTGGTTTAGTCCTGCAAGAGATGGTTCTGGGGAATCGGTGCAAATGATTACTGTGGGGCAATACAAAGTCACTCCATGTTGCTCATATATTCTCAAGAAACCCTAACTTTAGGGAACAGCTACTAGTTGTACTAGTAGGGTTTTTATTATAGCTTAGCTTTATATGGAGTAAAAGAAATCGAAGGGTGGAATACTGACACCTGAAATATCTCCCTGATGATCCGATCGATCGATAGAGTAGCAGGTGATGGGGTCCACCTTTGTTGTTTTATTTTTCGTTTGTGAACCGAAATAAACACGTTGTTGATCGAGTTTAGCCATTAGCAGGACTATAAATGACCCTGCGAGACATTAAAGTTACTCGACCATTTTTATTTTGTTATTATTTTAGATTTGTAGTCATTTAAGAAATTAGTTAAATTTATTCTTGTATCTTTATTAAGTAGTATGAAATCTGTTTTTTTTAAAAATGAACATGTTTTAATTTATTTTAATTAATAAATTTAATTTAATTTAATCACTTAATTTTTCTATGTTAATCAAATTATATTTTCAAGGCTAAAAATTAAGAGTTATAGTGTTTACTTATATGTTGATTTTTTGAAATGACTAGTATTAAGGAATATTTATTTCTAATAAAAAACAACCTATAATAAGAAACTTAGGGAGTAATTCCAAGCTTGTTTGGATTTACTAAAATTAGGTGCTTTTTTTATAGTTAAAATAGTATTTAAGCAATTTTATAGTACTTATTTAGGTAAAATAAAAAAAATTCTAATAAACGTTTATTTTAAATCTTTTTTTAACTAAAATAAGTTAAAAGCTATAAGTGGTTTTTGACTTAAAGAGTTTGATATATCCCTTAACTTTTATATTTAGAACTGATATATCTCTCGTTATAAAAGTAACTCATATATACCTCATATGGGAGAAAGACGTTCTCATACCCTGATACTGCTTTGTGGAAATCTAAAACAGTAGAAAGTCTCTATAGGATGGCTCTGTCCTAGCTAGACCAAGTCACAACTACTTATTATAGAAGACACGGACACACTTCCCTAAACTTCTCCTAAGTGACATCAAAATACTCTTTCAGCTAATTCGAAAGCAGCAATAGATGAGATTGAATCAGACAAATAAGGGTATCTGGATTATACCCCACACATTTATTTTTTTTGACTTTTTTGTTTCAACGACTAATTTAAATTTACTATTTTGATGATCAAATTTATTTATGTTTCACTAATTTTCTTGTAATTTTTTTTACAGATGCCCCATTTTTTTTTACAAATACAAAAAACTAAATTACAATATAATCGCAAAAAAATAGTTTAAATTTTTTTCTTTACACTAAAGAATGAAATAAAAAAATTTAAGAAACTCGAATAATGATAATCAAAGAAGTCAAAAAATAAATTTTGTATGAAAAAGATTAAAATATATCTTAAACTTTGCTCGAAGGACCATATATATACCCCTACGTGAATTTTAAAAAAAAAATTAAAGTAAGAAAAATAAATTTAAAACTATTTTTTCACTTTCGTTAGATAAATGATATATGTGAGCTCCTTTTGTAATGGTAAGATTATATATGAGGCATTTGTATATCTGTAAGGATATATATGAGTCACTTTTAGAACGAGGGATATATCAGCTCTAAATGACGAAATTAATGAATATATTAGATTCTTTTCCCTTAATTAAAAGACAATCAAATCAGGCTCGGCTTATGTGAGTAGGTAAGATAAAATTATAATATGAAATTATATGAAGAAGTCTAAGTTTTATTCGAACATATAATTAAAGTTTTAACTATGAAATCGTGTTTTTTCACTTATAAACCTAAAATTCTCATATATTCTGAAGTTTAAGTTGTAAAATGTTAGCTTCAAGATTTTCTAGAGTCGTATTTATGGAAATTGAAGCTTTATAATTAGTCTTGACTTAAAACTTAGATAATTTTCTAGTCTTATTTGCGGAAAGTCCAAGCAAATCCATTTCTTTGAAGTTAAAAAAAGACTCAAACATTGTTTTTTCTTGTTTTTTAGTAAAAAATACTTTGTTATTTTTGCTTTAAAAATTATTATCTCACTTATCAAGTATTTTAACTTTGATCATCAGCTAATCATATTCCTGTGAAAATTTCAAATTAAATTAATCCAACATGTAAAATTCAAATGGAAAATTAGTACACATATTATCAGTAATTTTACATAAAGTAAAATTATATAATAAATTCGTGTGATGTGAAAAGATCCAACACAACCCGAGTAACAGACAAATAAATGAGTATAAAGATGTGAGTGGAACATAATAGTGTGATCGAGATTAACATCAAAATTAAATTTTAAATACTAGCGAATATGTGCCCTATTTTTAAATCTGTTTACTTCAGTTCATCTTTTATTAAATGGAAAATACTCAATTACTATATTTTTTATTGTGATTTAAATTTTTGAAATCTTACTTCGAATCTCATAACACTTTTTCTTTTTTAGAAGGGAATGAAATTGATAATGTATAATATATACACTTATGCAGTTATGCACATATCAAAATTACATTACTTAAGAATTATGATAATAAATAACAATTTAAATTAAATTAATACAAATAATATAAAAAATATATTTTACATACATAAGATGGACACGTTTCTCCTATTTTATATGGCAGTAGTTTTTTTCTACAGCAATATTCGACCTTTTTTCTCTAGTTTTATTCTAAGTTTCTAACCAAAGGGTTACACAATATCAGAGATACATATAGGATTAAAGGTGGATATGTCGTGACAGAAAAAATAAAGAATTCTCGTTGACTCTTTTTAATAATTTAAAAAAGGGAAAAGGGTTAAATATTCCCCTAAACTATTCGAAAAGGTCTAGATATATCTCCGTTTAAAGTTTCGCTCACTCGTGTCCTCGCCGTCCAACTTTTCGTCTAGATATGCCCTTATGGGCGCTAAACGCCAAATGGAATCGCCACGTCATTTTTACATTACCACGTGGCATTGGAAAAGGGTCAAATATACCCCTAAACTATTCGAAAAGGTATATACCCCCCTTTTAAATGAACTACCTGACCCGTTTTCAACAATTATTTTTTTTTTGGTAAATCTCGAAAATGAGTAATTGACTAATAAAAAATAGGAAAAATATATAAAATTAATGCCAAAAATTCACAAATAAATATAGTAACCTTAAATTCAACAATTTCAATAATTTTTTAAAATATATTTTTTTTCGATAAATCCCGAAAATGAGTAATTGATTAATAAAAAATATGAAAAATATAACCTAAAAATTCAGCATAAAGTCATTTTCATATTTTTTATTAATCAATTACTCATTTTCGTGATTTATCGAAAAAAAATAAAAAATAAAAAAAATTGTTGAAATTGTTAAATTTAAGGCTATTATATTTATTTGCGAATTTTTGGCGTTAATTTTATATTATTTTTTCATATTTTTCCTATTTTTTTATTACTCAATTACTCATTTTCGGGATTTACCGAAAAAAATAAAAATTTAAATTTTTTTGTTGAAAACATGTCGGGTAATTTAATTAAAAGGGGGTATATCTAGACCTTTTTGAATAGTTTAGGGGTATATTTGACCTTTTTCCAATGCCACATGGTAATGTAAAAATGACGTGGCAATTTCATTTGACGTTTAACGCCCATAAGGGCATATCTAGACGAAAAATTGGACGGCGAGGGCACGAGTGAGCCAAACTTTAAACGGAGATATATCTAGACCTTTTCAAATAGTTTAAGGGCATATTTGACCCTTTTCCCTTTAAAAAAAAAACTCCTTATAGTGAAGTATCTTTCAATTTATTGAGTTTATAAAAAATTGATAAAAGAAAGTGATGACACACAGATGATAAATAAATTTAAAACCAACATGGACTTATTTGCACCCCTATGTACAAGATAATTTGCAGCGTAATTTAAATTCGACACATTTTAAATAAATTTTAAACTAATTTTCTTATTTCTGTTCAATATTATATTATAGTATTTTTTTTTCCGCCATATTTAACAAACCGATTAATTATATGTATTTGTTTCGCGACACACATTATGAAGTTGCACAGTGCCCAAATCGATCATAAAGGACCTATAATGAAAAATAATATACAACGAAAAACAGTTTAATTTTGTATCTATTTGCAGTAGAGAGAGTTGATTATTTTTGTTGAGCCAAGTAATTCAATCAGGCTAAGAGTAACTAACTATGTAATCAATTAGTTAGTTTGTTACTCTGTAGTTAGTTAAATTAGTTACAACTAAAAAGCTTATGAGGAATGTAATTAGGAAGCCAAATAGCCAATAGTGGCGTATCTATATACAGCCTATACATTGTACAATACAATAATTAACTAAGATATTATCTCTAAGGTATAGAATTCACCCTTTCTCTTTTTCCTCTTCTTCTTCATCATTACTAACATTTGGATTTACAAAATTGTTAGACTTCTCTATATTCTACAATTTCATTATTTGTAAATCATTAATTTAAAAAATAACTAGATTCTAAACTCAACGATAAATGAACAAAATGAGATGAGGTGAGTAGTAGAGATCCTACTTCAGTGATTGGGATAGTCGTAAATTATGTTATTATTTCACTCGAGTATAAATACAATGCATGATTAGTTCAAAGTACTACCCAAGATTTCAGAATGATGGGTGCATTATTACGAAAAATATATCTAAGATATAAATTTGATTGATTTGACCTTTAAGTTTTTAACACTCAAAAAAATTTATAGGTCCAAAATATATAACACTGCTATTTTAAAATTTTTAATATACTCATTTGATTTAATTATATAAAAAATTAACAATGCTAAACTTTTTTAGGGATTTTGAATATAACATACTTGAAAATTTGGAAAGATTAAAGTAGAAAAACAAAAGAAAAATTAATTGAAACACCAAAAGTGTTACCGATAACGAGTTGGAGAGGTGTTACTAAAAAAAGGAGAAGATTGATTTAGATTTAAATTTTTATCTTCACTTAAAGAGGTGCATTCCATCATCATTATATTATTATATGATATTTTGAACATTAATTCACATTTTTATATTAAAATATATTA